TTCCATTACAATGTGCCCTATGCTAAAGATAAGGAGCTACAAAGTCCAAAAAAGTGTCGGGGGAGTTTACGGGGGAAATTACTCCAGCTATATAGAAATAGAACTCTCTTGGCCTTGAGAGTCTGATTAGGAGTTGATATTCCATCAAAACATCTTCTTCCTTTCTGTCCTGACACACCAAAAAATACAGGCACAAAGCGTTTCCAGATTTCCATTCAAAAAAAAAAAAAACCAGATTGTCCTGATGTCTATATCAATTTTCCAAGAATATGTAGGTATCCTTAGCATGACCCAACTTAGTCCAAAACTGAAAAGAGCGTGTTGCAGATATCTGTAGCAATTGAGCAGTGTAGTAGGAGGTGACTGTTGGTTTCTATACTTTGTTGGCACGTAGCATCTGTTAACAATGGGTATGTTCCTTCTGCTGAGATTATCTCGAGTCAAACATGCTTCATAGAGTGCTGTCAAGCCGAAAAAATTACCTTTTGGGGGTTTGTTATCTTCCAAACACCCTGAGTAAAATATCTTTCTTCCTCTTAGAGGATCAGAAATATGTTCTTTTCCATTAAGAAGCAGTGCGTAAAGGAAAAAAAGACATTGATTAATATTTATGTCATGTGTATATCTAGACTGCAAATAATGCATTGACGACAACTATGCAGCTATTTGACACTACTAAAAAATGAATAATTGGTTAAATTGATGAACACAGCCGTTTCAGCATTGTCTTATTTGTTACCCTATCTCCCACCACACAGACAAAAGTTTTCTTAATTATCGTATCACTTCCAACGTTGTGTTTTGACTCCTTGTTTGTGTATGTCAGTGCCTTCCATTTAAGCTATAACATGCTTTTAAATCAAATACGGTGTAAAGATGCTGATCCTAAAAATCTTCTCCGTGACTCGTTCTATCAATTTCAAGCAGATCGTGCAATTCCTGATCTCGAGGTTTGTCAATTGGCTCAACTCCTGGCTCCCTCTCCCTAAAGTTCTTTTAGGTTTTGTTTTTATTTTTTCCGTTTTCTTGCCAGAAACAAGCAAAAATTCTTGAAGAGGAGAGAGACTCAATTGTGATTGAAGAAGAAGATAGCCTTGAGAGATACTATAGTCTTCTAGAACAATATAAGAGCTTAAAGAAGGATGTACGTAACATTGTTTTATCTCCAAAATATTGCTTGCCATTCTTGCAGCCTGGTAGGCTTGTATGCATTGAGTGTACGAAGATTGATGATGATGTTCCAACCTTCTCCATCAAAGAAGAGGTCACATGGGGAGTAATAATTAATTTTGAAAGGGTGAAAGGTCTTTCTGAAGGTGAGATTTAATTAATTGCACAGTAGTTGGGTTCTCTTGCTAGTTAGATTCTTAACCTTTAGTCGAATGTTATGTTCAGATGATGCAAACAAAAAACCGGAGGATGCGAACTATACGATAGATGTACTTACGAGATGTATAGTGCAGAAGGATGAGGTTGGTAGAAAGACAATTAAAATTGTCCCGTTGAAGAATGCCGGGGAACCAGCTGTTGTTTCTCTTCCTTTGTCCCAGGTAAGCTCCTTATGCATATTTTGCTGATAGCAATATCTGATGATACACTAAATTTTGTAAGTTAAGATGCTAGGGAAATTTTTCCCTTGTGCCTAAGCCTTGCTGGATAGAGCTACCTATGCCTGTGCTGGTGAGAGATGGTAGATTTCCGACTTGCAGACCACATTTTAGTTGCAGAAGTCCTTCACAAATTACATTTCAACTAAAAAACTACTTAGATAAAGCATAGCTGATTCTTTCTTGGTGCTGAAGTACAAATAGATCTGCAATTTCCTCTTGATACTCATCTGTGCATATTTTTGAGAAAGGTAACAATATATTCCTCCGTACATATTGTTGGAACAAATTCGGTAGTCTTGGTAATTTTTCATTTCTTAGTGCAACCTTACAATCAAAAAGGGAAAAATTAAGAGAACATTCCTGCTACACCTTTTAAGTCAGGTTATTTTGATCTACATCCTCCTGTATTACCTTAACTACTGCCAAACATTATGGATGGAGTTACGGTGTAGATGATGTTTTAACTGCTAATCATTCTGGTAACACCCAAGTCCTGTTTCTACTTTAGCAGTGTCGTCACTTCTTCGTTTTAATTTTTCTGCCCTTCTGCCTTCTCTTTCTGCATCTGAATGCTGGGATTTGTCATAGATTTTGAAAATCGCTTCTCATCTAATCATGTGTTGCATGTATCTGCTCTCTAGCAGGTCATGAAAGTGAAAAATAAATTACAATGTCGTTCATGCAAATTAAATTTAGACTTGTTGGTGTACCTGATGTATTTTTTGCTAAACAAATTATTGACAGATTGATAGTTTGAGCAGTGTCCGTCTTGTGATACCAAAGGATCTTTTGCCTTCGGAAGTTCGAGAAAATACACTAAAGAAGGTTTCTGAAGTTCTCAATAGATTTTCAAGAGAGGGCATGCCTCTCTTACACCCGGAAGATGACATGAAGGTCAAAAGCAGAGCTTATATCTCTCCCATCCCCCCCAACCCTCCTTGTATTAACCTGCTGGCATATTAGCTTGGTGTTCATTCGATGCTTGTTCTGCAGGTTCAAAGTAGCACGTACAGGAAGGCTTCTAGTAAGATAGAAGCCTTGGAGAGTCTGTTTGAAGAGCACAAGATAGCAACGTCTCCCCTCATAAAAGAAAAGCTTAAGGTTTTGCATAAGAAGAAAGAACTTACTGGCAAAATCAGATCAATTAAGAGAGCAATGCGTACTTCAAAAGCCTTAGCGTTCAAAGACGAACTTAAAGCAAGGAAAAGAGTTCTCAGGAGACTCGGGTATATTCACCTCTCTATCTTACCAACCTTATATTGGTTTTGCAGACAGACTGTGTTTCTTCTTTGAAGTTGCGCTATGTTGGCTATTGCAGCTGTCAGAATTAGAGGATTATACATGCTTTTCGTATTGATATTGTTTCCTCTCATAAAGTTACTGAAACTTTTAACAGTTGAACTGCTTTGTTTATTATTTATTTTTTATTTTTTCTTCTCCATTTTTTCATCAGTATTATATTGCCAATTGTTTTACCCTTTCAAAGGTGTACTAAACATATAAAATGCTTCTAGTGTTGTAATGAGCCCATCATCCTCCCAAATCCAATTCAGATCCTTTTCCTTTGATATCTGGTACTTTAATGGGTATATTTGGATTTGACAGTGTAGACTATGAGCTACAGATAAGTAGCCTGCTTTTAAGAGAGAACCCTGCAAAGAATTGTTGTTAATTCTATTTCTATGTGGTATGGCAAATGTGTTTTTTTAAAACTTAGGATAAACATTAATACAAAAGAGACCTCAGCGGAGTTATTGAACCATCTATGTTTCTGACATACACTTTGGTTCCTCTGTTTGGTATGGTATGTGCTTCTTCATCATGTTATATATTCTCTCATGGTTTCTTGCCCCAGAATTCTTTTGTTCTCTACGACTTTGCTCTGATTGGTCAATTGCATGAAGGTTCTTATGACGTTGGGAATTATGCAGATACATCAAAAGTGATGATGTCCTGGAGTCTAAAGGGAACGTTGTCTGTTTAATCAGCAGCGCAGATGAGTTGACCTTGAGTGAATTGATGTATAATGGGACCTTCGAGAAAATTAAAGTGGAGGAGCTTGTCTCTCTTCTCTCTTGTTTTGTGTGGCAAGAAAAGCTTCAGGATACTCAGAAGCCCAGGGAAGAGCTAGAGTTGCTCTTTGCGCAGTTACAAGATACAGCTCGAAGGGTTGCAAAAGTTCAGCTCGAGAGCAAGGTATGCATCATCTGAGTAATTATGCTGATAAAGCTTGATAATTATGGTATTAAATACAATAGCTGAATGAACATGTCATTGGGTTATTATCTAACTTTCAGTTTTTCGGGCACTATTAAACATGTTCTACGTTATCAGCTATTTGAATTAGTAACGCGAGTTTAATTTGTTGAATCTGATTCAATTGTTAATGTGAATTGAGAAACTAATTACCGAAGACCCTCCATAATCTGCAACCAAAAGAGCAACTACTTGTAGAGATTTGTTACGCAAAGTATCACTTTCTTGTTTACCATTTTGTCTAAACTCCATTGTGCTTTCAATAGGTCCAAATAGACGTTGAGAACTTTGTGAGTTCATTCCGGCCTGATATCATGGAGGCTGTCTATGCGTGGGCTAAAGGATCTAAGTTTTATGAGATAATGGAGATTACTCAGGTGTTTGAGGGCAGTTTAATCAGGGCTATCAGGAGACTGGAGGAAGTTCTTCAGCAGCTAATAGAAGCTGCAAAAGCCGTCGGGGATGAAAAGCATGAGGCAAAATTTAAAGAGGCTGTAGCCAAGATCAAGAGGGACATTGTCTTTGCGGCATCTCTGTATTTGTAGATATAAAATTGAGGCATTTCCGTCAATGGTGTCCATATACAGAGGTTTAGGTTAGGTGGAGGTGATGCCACTATTTATGCAACTCAAGTGTAGGAGTGATCATGGTTCGATTTTTATGTAAATCGAGACCAAACCAACTATGTCGGTTTATTAGATATACAAATTCAGCCAAACTGCTTAGAGTCAGATTTTGTTTCGGTTTTGTCAATTTTCTGGAATTTTCCTTTTATATGAAATACAAATTCATTTCATTTACTTGCCCAAAAAATTCATTTTATTCAATGTAATAGAGTATAATTTTTGACATATATGTTCAGTTAAGAATCAGACATTGATTTACCTACTACACACACAGGGAGAGATATCTATAGGGAAAATGACACAGTATAGCCATTCTTAAAATAATAGCTGAATATATATATATATACCTTTTCGGCTACGGAACGTAAATAGTTTCTGGTGCGGGCTAAAAGTGAGAATACCCTATATCTATAGGTGAGATTTTGTTGCTGAGGCATGACACTCACATTCATGAATACAAAACAACCTTGCATCCATTTATGTTTTCAAACTTACTTAACCTTAATGATTAAGTCGATAAAAAAAATCACTCCTGAATAACTTTAATATACAAGAAATAGGAAACTCGATTTTGCAACGAAATGGTAGCCTGATATTATATGCTTCGCCTCAGCCTTTCCATACGGCTTACTTCAATTCTCGAATATGAAAACAGGGAAAGAAACACCTGAATAAACGAGCTCCAAAATTGATCACACACCCAAAAGCTCCACCAGCTCTCTCTGTTCTGGCTTCTGTTGTCACAGGTACACCATACATTTGATTCGGAACCATATACTGTTGAAGCAAAGTATTACTAGTATTATCCGACGGTGTTGGCTTTGGTTGATTGATCTGACTAACATTATTGGAGTGCTGCGAATTAGTTCCATGAGTTTGGTTCAGATTTTCTGATGTCGAAGTTGAACCTTGCTCAGTTGCGAAAATGGAGTCATGTAGTTGCTGCTGCTCGTACTCGAACCAAGGTGGCAAGGGCGGTGCTGACGGCTGAGTTGGGTAATTATAAGGGCATTGGTAATAGCAGGGTAGCAATGGTGGTGGAGGTGATGGTGGTTGTTCAAGAAGAGGAGCTCTCTTTTTCTTCTTCTTTCTTGACCAGAACTTCAGCTTTTTCATTGCTTTTGTTAACTTCATTGGGCTTTGTTTTTTCTCAATAGCGAGAGTGTCGAAGATGATTGTTGCGAAGTATGTGTAAACCGAAATGGGCTAAAAGGGGAATACAGAGATGGGATTAAATGATACACTATCCGTTATGAAAATGATACATTGCGAAGCTTTTTTCAAATTTGATGACCGTTACCTTTAGCTAGCTCCATCAACTTTTTGAAAAAGAACATTGTTAGTGCTAATCTTGGATTATTTTGTTGACTATTGAGCCGAGGGTCTTTTCGAAAATAGTCTCTCTACTTTTCTAGAACAGGGGTTCTTCCAGAGTAGGGATAAGGTCTGCGTACACACTACCTCCCCATGCCTTACTTGTGGGATCCACTGGGTTGTTGTTGTTGTGGTCGTTGTTTGGTGACTATTTCGTCCCATCTTCTTTGTCTATTTCAATAATGATAGAGAAATAATTCTATGCCACGCTCTTCCTCCCACCGTTACGATTGTGAATTTAAAATTTTTGTACTAATAGAGTAATGCGTACTACTTCCTCCGTTCGAATTTATGTGAACCTATTTGACCAGTGTGACGACCTGACCCGTCGTCTCATGAGAACCGCTCCGTTTCCCCCATTTCCTGCTTCGTTATGCTTCATTATCAGTGTCTTGTGTGAACGAGTTGAATTGGGTTGATTTTTGGAAGGAAATGAGACACTTAGTCTCTTTAAGGAAGGCTTGTTTTGGAAAAGTCAACCGGATGTTGACCTATGAGTTAGAGGGCTCGGATGTGGATTACAACGATTCGGTTAGCTTCGGGGGATGATTTGTGACTTAGGAGTATGATCTGAAGTGATTTTGGAGGTCCGGTGTAGAATTAGGCTTGAATTGGCGAAGTTAGTATTTTGGCGAATTCCGATTGATAGGTGAAATTTTGATCCGAGGGTCGGAATGGAATTCCGAGAAATGCTGTAGCTTCGTTAGTTGATTTGGGATTGCAAAATTTCAGGTTATTCAGAGGTGATTTGGTTGGGTTTTTGATCAAATGCGTGTTTCGGAAGTTTTAGAAGAACTTAGGCTTGAATCCGATGTAAATTTGGCGTTTTGATGTTAGGTTTGGTGTTTTGAGAGTGCAACTAAGTTTGAATGATCACATGTGACATGTAGTATGTTCGTATGCGGTCCCGAGGAGCTCGGGTGAGTTTCGGATAGGTTTGGGCTGCGTTGTGCTCGTTTTTCTTATGCTTCAACGTCGTTTCTTCAAGCATAAATGATATCATATTGAACAAATGAGCTCTGATTACTGTTTTGAACGAAGCATTACCGTATCATAATTACGGACCCGTAGCAAAAAGAATCGTCGAATTTGGACATCGTATGAGTATTTTATGGCCAGTTTACCAAGGTTGCCCAGATTTTCAGGTTAATGATGAAATTGCCCCTGACGGCGTATTAAAAACCTGCACTATTTGCAAATCTTAAAACCTACATATCTCCTTCATTATAAGGTCAAATTGAGTGATTCAAAAGCCTAAATTCATTAGAATTTCACAAGGAATCCATTGGGAGCAGTAAAACGCGTGAACAGTATACCTATAATGAGCAGGTCGAGTTTTCTTCCAATTTTTTAACGGGAAGAAGCTTCTGAGGCGATTTTTAAGAGAGAAAATCAGTGGGTATCACAGAGGTAAGTGACTTGATTATTAAAATTCGTTTATGGGTGATTATAGACTATAATCCCAGCCTTTAATTCATGAAAAACAGTAGAAAAATAGGATTTTGGGGCTTGAGATTATGAGATCTTTAGGGGTCGATTTGAGTGGTCAAATGGACTCCGATTTTGGTGTTCTTTATATGTACGGAATCGGGAGAAGATGAAGAACACTTTTCTGTAAAATTTTTTGAGTTTCGAGAAGTGGGTCCGGGGCTCGGGTTTTGTCAATTTCGGAATTATTGATGTTTTTCGATTATTTTCGATTGGGTATTGATCCTATAGCATAATGTGACGTATTCGTTGTGGTTTTGGTCAGATTCGACGCGCGAGGAGGTCGATTTGAGAGGCAAGGGCATAGCGAGCTAGGATTTTGGCCGGCTTGAGGTTAGTAATAGATGTAAATGCTGTGTTGATGGTTTGAAACCCCGAATTTGCACATTATAGTGCTATGTTGAGGTGACTTGCACGCCGGATAACGGGCGTGGGATAGAGCACCGTCAGGGATTGTGACTTGGTCCGTCCCGCTTAATAAAATTACTACCTAATTGATTGAAGCTTAGTGATATCCTTATAAAAACGGATTAATTGTCATAATTTGGCCTCGTGCCAACTGATTGAATCCTTCAGGGATTGTTTGTACTGGTTTCTTACCATATTTTTAGACAATTGAACTCAGTCCTAGTATTTAATACTGTTTTGCAAACTCAGCCACTTTTTCTCAAAACTTGGAACTTAAATAATGTTTCTAATGAAGTTTGGGCTGGATATTTCTGTATTATTATGCCCGAGGGGCTTATATGATTCTGGACTGAGTATGGGATCGGGCTGCGCGCCGCACCAGTATTATATTGATATTGATATGAGGCTTAGGGCCTAATGGATGCCACGAGATGGCTTGATATTGCGCTTGGGCCGTAAGGGGCCCCTACCGGAGTCTGCACACCCCCTGTGAGCGCCGTCGACGATAAATAAATGGAGCGGGCTGCACGCCGCAGCGGGTACTAGAGAGTACCGTACTATTTGTTGCATTTCTTAATTGATTGTCATTCATTTACTTATCTGTTGCAGCATCATTGTTTTCATTGGTTTATTGAGTTGATATTATTTGGATTGAGCTGCTGTAATTATAGCTTACATTGTGCCTATCCAGGATCTTACTCTCAACCCTTATTTATGTTTATTACTCTCTGGGTTGGAAGTACTCACATTACTCCCTGCACCTTGTGTGCAGATCTAGGTGCACCCACTGAGGCTGAGTGAGGATTTCGCTGCCGAGCATCATTTCTGGGAGCATCAAGGTAGCTGCATGACGTCCGCAGTCCTGATCTTCCCATCTAACCTATTTGCTTTATTTCCGCATTTCTTTAGAGCAATATGTAGTAGGTTGACACCCGTGTATTAGAGGCTCAGACTTGTGACACCGGATTCTTCGGGCTGTGTAGTAATATTTCTACTTGGGTTTTCCGCATGTTTTAACTATATTTCAAAGTTTCAGTATTATGACTTAGTAATTATTTGTGTTAATTGAATCATGAGCTGTATAAAAAGGGTTAAGATTGTTGAATTGGTCGGGCTTGCCTAGCAGTGTGTTGGGCGCCATCACGACCGGGGTTGGGGTCGTGACAGCACCCTACCTCCCTAAGTACTTTGAAAGTATAAACATAGGCTAAAAGCCTAATTTTGGGGTGAAGGTTGGAGAAGTTATGATGTGAAAGTTGCTTAAAAGGTGAAAGGTTATATGAAAAGAAAGAAAAAAAATAGAAAGAAAAAAGAGAAAAAGGAAAAAATAATAATAAAGAAAAGTAATGTGAATGAATGGAAGACTAGGTGATAAAAAAAATGAAGAAAGGGTGGAAAAGTTCTTGTAGGAAGTGTACTTTGATTGTTGAAAAATTATAGTGCTTAGGGAGGTTTTGAGTCACTCTAACCAAAATTGTGCCCAACCTTAACCAAAAGGCTAAACTACAACCCTTTAAGTTCTAATTGATTTTGAACCAAATTTGTTTACATTAGTGGAGAAATACATGAAGGGAAAGCCTATGGTACTACTTGTGTGCATTAGAACATCTTTGTGAGAGAGAGTTAATTCTTTCCATTTGATATCCCATTTATGTTTTGAATTGCAATTTATGAGTGTGAGATTCTCTCTTAAGTGTGAGGGCACATGAAACTTGAGTTGTGAATTTAATTCCATTTTCAATTGGGAGGAATGAACGAAGGAAGTTAATTGTGATAAAGAGGCAAATTTTGAAGCTTTAGTGTCATGACATGATTGCTACTTTGATTTACATAGTGTTTGAGCACTTTTGGTATTTCATATGCTTTGGATTAATTGTTGGTACCAGTCGAAGTCATGTGTTTGTGCTTATTTGTAAAATATCTTTGGCATCTTTGGGCAGTCTTTAACACATTTTGAGAAGAGAACACAAGTTTTGGAGCTAGGGTTCTTGCACACACACTTGGGTCTTGAAGATTTGAAACTTTTGGTTGAGAATTTCTTACTCATTTGTGCTCATTTCTTCATTTTCTTGCTTTGTATTGAATATCTAAGTGTGAAGTATTTTTTCCAACACTTGAATCTCATTTATGGAAATATTCATATTTAAAGTACTGATTAAATATCTTGTTGTGCTTATGTATTGAACGATTTTTATTTATTATAAAGTGAGTTATTGTTTCTTTAATTATTCTTGTTCTTTAATGTTTCCAAAGGGATTAGCTAACCCTAGGACTCGCCCATTAACTTCGAATTATTTTGGGAATGATTATTTAGGGTTGGGAAAGATTAATTAACAAGAACTTGAGGCTTTAACCCTCATTTTATAGATTCTACCTAGGGATAGGATAGAGTTATTACCCGGGGCTAATTAACATAAACTCGCTCATATTTGTAAAATCGTGCAATACATTGGCTTGTTACTTGTAGCCATTGATCTTTTTACTTGCTTTCTAGGTTAGTTTACATTTTCGCAATCAGTTATAAATATTTTCTAAAACATTTCTAAGTGTTTGTCTTAGCATAACAAGTGATAATTCTCTTACACGCCTAATCGCCTACATATTGTTCTCTGTGGGATTCGACCCCGACTCATAGTTGGATAAATTATATTGCATGCAACCGTGTCCATTTACTTTTTAGTAGTGGATTTGGACGTCATCACTGTTCTAAAGAGGATGGAAGAAATAGAGAATGAAAACAAAATGCTCAAAGATCAAATGAATGAACACCAAGAACGAGTCGACAAAATACCGGCTCCCCTAAGCTACTGCCAAAGAGAGATGCCGGTAGATTTATAGAACAGCCGTACAGCGAGGAAGCTGCCCCACATGCCATACCTAAGACCTTTAATATGCCGAACGACTGACCCCGAAGATCACGTGACTCATTATTTCACCGCTGTGAAGGGTAACGACCTCACCAAGGAACAAGTGTCCTCTGTTTTGCTAAAAAGATTT